GGTCGACGGTATCGATAAGCTTGAGTTCTGCTATTATTTTTGTTATTTCCTCTCCTTGGGACGAGTGTCCTCCGCTTTGGTTTCCAAATCTTTCAATTCTTTACGTAACGGATCAACTCTCTTCATCATATCAGCATAACTCAACTATAGGAGAGAGAGAAGAGGATACAATATTATCAATACAATAAGGTACACAATTATTACAAAAGAAATAAAATGAATAAAAATGCCTCAAGTTCACTTTTAATTGTGTGCATTAATTTAGCATTTTAGATCAAATTGGGAGTTTGGCTATATTTGAGGCTTTTCAGTACATGGCTTTTTGAGCAACTTTAAAAATTCATAAAAAATGCAAATTCAATTGGAATCAGATAAAACTTTATACACAACATAAGGACAAGTATACATATTAAAAAATATTATAAAATTGCGAATTCTCTTCTTTCAATTTTGGAGAAATTTGGCCAACGACCCGATTTTTGAGTAACTTAAAAAAATTCGCATAAAATCCAAATTTGATCGGAATCAGCTCAAACATTCTACACAACATAAAAACTTTTATGTATCATAAAATGTTATAAAGATCGAGAATTCTCTACTTGACATTTTTGGCAAAATTTGGCCGATGCCCCTGAACTATAGTACAGTGTAGAAGGGAACTGAGCCCTTAAATAAACAATTTTTTTTACAAAATAGATATAACACAGGGATAAATAGCAGGTTAATAAATGAGATAATAATAACGGAAATAAGTGATAGAAAAATAATAAGATAAAATGAATAGGTTAGGTTAGTACAGGGACTTTGACCCAATTTTTGAGCAACTTTAAAAATTCGTAAGAAATTCAAATTTGATCAAAATCAGCTCGAGCTTTTTACACAACATACATGTAAGAACATGCATATGTATCAGAAAATGTTATAAATAATTAAGAAGTCTCTACTTGACATTTTTGGCAGAATTTGGTTGTTGCTATAGAAAAGCAATCAATAACAAGAAGTAGCACCAGAAAATCAGTAAGTACATGTACATGTACATGTAAATGTGTATGTAATGCATTAAGTATAATGTGCATTTGTGTGTAATGTCTGCTCACTTCAATTAGTCTAGCTCCTCCATCAGTCATAGGAAGAGGACAAGAGTAGAGACCAGATGAAGGAGAGAACAAGAATAACTGCCTCAACTGGTGGAGTCGCCTACAAATTAACATTAATAACAGTGCCTCAGTACTTCAATCATAATACTGTATGGCTGGTAATTGTAGAGGGGTGCTAAGTTATTAGTGATTGGTGG